CTTTCAATTTAAAGCATTTTTCATCTGGTTTTGGGAGCCCCAGCTGCATCACAGAGGGTTGGAATATACAAATCTGGGGGGTTCTGGGTGTTAAAGCCCACTAAAAAAGCAGCTTCCACACTATTGTCTCCCTTAATCCGGCAACATGATGGTAATTTGTATGCAATTCTATTAGGGAAATCAGATTACAAATCTTTTGTGGAGAGCTATTTATACCACTTGATATTACTTTAATTACATTCTGATCTCACAATGTTTAGCATTTTGTGCTCGAGCACCAAATTTTCAAATTAGAGCAACTTCAAGGAGCATTTTCAGGAATATCTAGAGCCCTTTGGAGCCCAAATTCACAGATAAATTATTTTTAGCCACCTGGGTTTTTTTCAAACCCGTTTTGCTCTGTGGATGTTGCGTTCATCACAGGTGTCCTGTGCCCACCTGGGCTGTGCTGCCACTGCTGCTGGGAGGGAAAGGATTTGCTGGGCTGGCTCAGGGGTGGCAGAAATAGTGGGGCCCTTGTTCAGCAGCAACCTCACACCCGAGGTGTGGCTGCCAGGGCTGGGATTACAAAGGGAGTTTTATCTGGGACACTGGGGGAGGAATATTTTATAGGGTGTTAATGCAGCCCCAGGCTTGATTGGTCAATTCTCAGCCTTTATTTCTATGTTTTCATTCCCTTGTGACCATCTGAAATGCTCACTGCTTTCTTAGATTTGTATAAAGTATAATAATCACAATTACAAAGTGTGTTAATTAATTATAAAGTAGTCCTGGTACACAAAAATTGTGGATGCAGACTGCACATTAAACTGAATATACTTTCATACACTTCAATTGAAAAAAAAAAAGCCCTAGAATTCCCCTTTTTAAACTCGAAATTATAGCCTAAATTTCTGACATTTTAACTTTGTCAGAGCTATCAGAGTTCACGGATTCCCACCTGGTGGGGCTGGAATTGCTGCTGTAAGATCAGTGCTGAATGTGGGAGCCCATCCATTCAGCTGAGCTGCTTGGCAAGATCGTGGTAGAAAATTGTGACCAACGAAGGAGAATCCTTTGTTAAGGTAACAATAAAATATGAATTGAATCAGAATAAATACCGTGGATAAATGGATAATTTACCTGGATAATTGTACTGCTCACCTGGACTGCTCAGCTGGTTAAAATCTCCCTGCTGCCTCTGTACCCTGTATTTTATTCCAGCAGTGCCCTCTGCTGAGAGCATGGAATGTGTGTCCCCAGAGCTTTTTTCCCCCCAAGTCTCAGTATTTTCAGTCTAAGATCTCAAAAACCATTTGCATTTAAAAAGATAGAGAAAGAGAAGCTACACTGGTGTTGGTACTGGTTTATTAATGACCAAACCACGTGAAATAAACACAAAATATCCTGTGGCAAAGGCAGGGGTAGTGGTGTTGGCTGGGTTTTAGCTGTGTTAGCATGAAAGGATTAAGTGGTAAAAGGCATTTTCTGGGCTGTTGGGGTCCAGGCTGGAGACACAGCACTGATATTTTATTTCAGCTCCCTCAGTCCTCCAAACCCACAAAACCCTGCTCCCCCTTTCCTGGCTCTCTAATCCTTTATGATCTAATTAATTTGTGAGCTACAGCTGGATTCACTTCACTCCATTTGAGAACATCCCTGAAGAATTTGAAACTGCGGCATCACCACCCATCTCCCCAAGCCCTGGGCAGGTTTTGCTCTTGTCAAAGGTTGCTTCCAGCAGCTCATCCATGTGGGAAATGTGCTCTGCAGTTTGGGCTATCCTAGCAACTCCCAGGGATTGGCACAGCCCCCAGCTGGCAACCCAAATATTTAAAAACACACCTGGTTAAAGTTTAACCCCCGTGACGACGATGATGTGGCAGCAGGAGCTGTGTGTCAGGAGAGGATCCGCGCCCGGGGATCGGGGTGGGAGCTCCTGGGAGAATGGGATGAGCAGAGCCGGCCCAAAGGAGCATTTCCCACCATGAATGGGTTCCTGAACTGCTCTGCCAACCACACCAAGATCTGGAGTCACTACTTGGTGCTGGCCCTGGGCATCCCCCAGCTGACCATCAACGTCATCTCCATCATCTTCAACTGCACCGTCATCTTCACCCGCCTGGCCACCAGGGACCTGCACAAGCCCATCTCCATCCTCTTCTGCAACCTGGCTGTCTCTGACCTCTTCACCAGCTTCTCTGGCTTCTGGATTTCCATGCTGTTCATCACCAACCCCGACATCACCATCTTTGGCTCCCGGGACATGCTGGCTCCCTACTCCCTGTACACCACCTCCATCCTGTCCACCATCTACAACCTGGTGAGCATCGGCATCGAGCGCTACCTGGCCGTGGCCGAGAGCATGAGGACGAGGTTCAGGGTGGCCAGGAACCACTCCATCGCCGTGGTCTTCATCAACTGGGTCCTGGCCTTCTTCCTGGGCTGCCTGCCCCTGATGGGCTGGAGCTGCCTGCAGGCGGAGAGCAACGTCTCGGTGCTCTACAGCCCCTTCTGCGTCAACTACCTGGTGTTCATTGCCATGCCCAACGTGGCCGTGGCCTTCCTCGTGCCCCTCTTCACCTACCTGAGGATCATCATCATCCTGAGGAAGAGGAAGCTGAGGATGCAGGCATGCGGCCAAGCCACGGGCACCTACAGGTCGGCGGAGACGCAGGTGGCCAGGACCAGCATCTCCATCTGGCTGCTGGCCCTGGTGTCCTACGCGCCATTCCTGGCCGGCGTCGTCTTCGACGCGGCCAACCAGCGCTGCCACGGCGAGCTGTACCCTGGGGTGTACATCTTCAGGAACTGCACGGCCATGTTGATCACCCTCACCTGCCTGGGCAACCCCCTGCTCTACACGCTGAGGCTCCGGGCACTGGGGGCCCGGCTGAAGGTGCCGCGCGGCCTCTGGGCCTCGCGCGTGAGGGCCTGCGCCGTCGGCCACGTCTGACCAAACCTACCCACCCCATCCCAGGGTGATGTACTGGGGAATGATAAATGAGGAATGTCGTGGTGGACTCTCACAATTAACAGACAAATAGCATGTGTGTAGGTTGAGAAAAGTTGTAGAGATTTATAGTTGTGTTGTGCGTGGCCTCTGGGCCTTGCACGTGAGGGCCTGTGCCGCCATCGGCCACGTCTGACCCATCCATCCCATCCCAGGATGATGTATTGTGATAAATGAGTAATGCAATGATTGACTGTCACAATTAATAGACAAATATCATGTGTATGGGTTGAGAAAAGTTGTAGAGATTTATAGTTGTGCTGTACACCCTCACAAGGTGTACAGGTGGTTGTCAAGGGACAGCCGGGAGGTCCGGCTTGTCACTGTGGTGACATCTGAGCTCCAGTCAGGATTTGAGAGATCTCCACCACTGGACAGTGAAGAAGGGGTTGATGGGCAGAATTTTGGGAGGAGCTAAAGGGTTAAAAAGGGTTAGAAAGGAAAAAACCTCCATTGTGAGGGAGCTGAGCACATGGCGGGGAAAATCTTTTGCTCCCAGCGCCAGTAACCTTTTTTCTTTCTTCAGTCTTCTGTTGTATTTTTGGTAAGGTTTAATAAACCTTCCTAAACTATGAAAAGTGAGTAGCTATTTCTCACATTATGATGCTTGTGTCCCCAGCTGTGTGTTCTGTTAATTCTGGATATTGTATTTGTGCCTTCAGTGCTGGTTCTGAGAGCAAAGGTGGGGAGAAGAAGCAGCACGGAGTTTGTTATCAGGGGCTGCACTCACTGCTCTAAAAGCAGCACTCCTCCACATTCTGCTGCACTGTGTTGTCCGGGCACTGACAGAGCAGAACAGAGTGCTCCTTTGCTTTTCAGTTGGTTTAGCTGGCTGAGGCAGAGTTTTCCCTGGACTCTTTTTATTTCTTTCCCTTTTCTTGGAGCTGTTCGAACCTGCTCTGGTCTGGGACCTGGGGAGCACCAAGAGCTTGCACTTTGTGACCTCAGGGCTACTCTGGGCAGCAGCCTTTCCCAGTGCCACAGGGACTGATAACAGAGTGTGAAAAGTGCATATGGTATGGCTCCACGGAGATATTTACTATATGTATTTTGTTGTGTTGATTCGTAGTGCTGTGTTAGCATTTTAATAGGATGGTAAATGTAGTTTTGTAGTTAAAAGGTAACTTTTGTAGTTTAAATAGGAACTATCTAAGTGGGATATTTTTTTAAGAAAGGAATGAGGTACTCACACCAGATAGCAGTCACAGGACACCTCAGTCTTTCAGAGAAAAAGAATTTATTGCCCCATTATCAGAAGCTGACTTCTTCACAGAAGGAGGTACCCAGACTGTCAGTAACTCTTTGTTTCTATTGCCTCATATTGTCCGAATCCAAATTGTCCAAATTATTATTACTCTAATTGTATTACTATTTTTATAACCATTTTATTGCTATTAAACTTTTAAAATTTTAACAACAAGTGATTGGCGTTTTTCACGTGACATCAGCTGACGCTTCTGGCTCTGCACTGCTGAGCTGCTGCTCTGTGGTATTTCATCAACGCACAGCAATAAAATCCCATGGAAATCCACACAGTGAGATGTTCTCACATTCATCACACACAATCCCACCCACTTGGAGTTTTCAGAGACTTCTTTCCAGTTTCTTTGCTTTGTTGTTGTTTCCTCACATTTATATCTATCTATATTCCTCTCTAACTCTATTATATATATATATATATATATATATATATATATAAAATTTTATTTATTTATTTATCTATTTATTTTTTTCTATTAATATATGCTATATATGCCCATATCTATACCTCTACCCCTATCTCGATATATACATCTGTCTCTCCACTCCTCCTTTTTCCCCCATACACAGCGCTCTCTCTCTATATATATCTATATCCATATAGCTCTCTATATTTATCTATTTATAGAAATATCGCGATAAAACGCCCTGGCTATGGCTGCGCTCGGCGGTCGATTAAACACGCCTGCCTGGCGGCGCTCGATTGGCAGCCCTGGCCGGTGGAGCGGAAGTGGAAGTGGAAGCGGCGAGAGCGGCCATGAGGGCACCGGGGCCGTGCGCGGAGTGCGGGGCGAGGGCCGCGGCCCGGTACCGCTGTCCGCGCTGCGGCACCGCCTAGTGAGCGAGGGATGGGCTGGGGAGAGCGGGGGGCACGGCCCGGTACCGCTCAGTGAGCGAGGGATGGGCTGGGGGGAGCGCGGGGCACGGCCCGGTACCGCTCAGTGAGCGAGGGATGGGCTGGGGGGAGCGGGGGGTACGGCCCGGTACCGCTCAGTGAGGGAGGGACGGACGGGGGCACGGCGGTACCGCGGGCTGAGGGTGCGGCTGGCGGTTCCGGGCTCGTTTCTCACGCCGTTCTCCCCGCAGCTGCTCCGTGCCGTGCTGTCGGACCCACCGCGGTGAGTGCGGGCCGGGCTAACCGGGGCTCACCGGGGTTAACCGGGGCTCACCGGGGCTAACGCGGCTCTGTCCGCAGAGCGCTGCGCGCCCGGTGCCCGGCGGGAGGAGGAAGCGGCCGGGCCCGGATCCCCCCCTGCCCCCGCAGGCAGCCCCGGGGCCCCGGAGGACATCCTGGGCGAGGAGGAGGAGCAGGACCGCGTCCCGCCGCAGAAACTGCAGCTCCTGGGTAATAAATCCTGCTCCTGGCAAATATTGAAATAAATACTGGATGTTGTGTGTGGGCAAGTGATGCTGTGTTCATCTCCTTTTGTATTAATCCCCTTTAAGTGGTGTGGTAAATGCAGTTTTTAGGCTCTAACATATTATTAAAATAGAAACGATGTGATGTGAGATACTTTTAGTAACTAGCCCAAAGAATAGAAAAGATGATCAAGAAATTCTTCACATTATCCTCTCTGGATGGAGATGAGATAACAAACAGACACCATGATCCAAGAGAAGAATTATTGCCTCCTTATCAGGAAAGCTCAGACGTGGAGGAACCAACAAAATTGATTTACAAGATCAAGGGGGGGAAGCTGAAATTGAGCAGAAACACCCTAGTTTGAAATGAATGTTTGAATAATGTATGAGATATATAATTATGCAATAAGCTATTGCATTTAAGGGGTAATCCTTTGTTAGCAGGGGGTGCTTTGGGACAGAGTGGGAGTCTGTAATTCTCTGCTTTTTATTGTCCTAACTTTGATTGTCCAAATTCTAATTTCCCTCACTGTTTTCCCTCCCTCTTAAACGTCTAACACTTTAACACCAGTGCCTGGCGTTTTCCAGGGAGCTGAGCTTTCCCTGAGAGCACTGTGCCAGTTTCCCTGACAGTTGCTGTGTCCCCGGGAAGGTTTGCTGGCCCCAACTCGGCTGTAACTCGGCTGTAACTCCGTTTGTTCCCTCCCTGCCGCAGGGGAATCGGCGGAGCTGCGGGATTTGCTGCGGAACCCCCACCTGCGGCAGCTGCTGCTGGCGCTGGAGCAGGCTCGGGACAAAAGCTCCCTCCTGAGGCGGCTGATGCAGGAGCCGCTGTTCCTGGAGTTCGCCGACTGCTGCCTGGGCATCGTGGAGCCTCCCGAGGAGAAGGAGAACGTCCTCCCCGAGTGAGCTTTGCTGCTGGGGGAGTGGGGCTGTTTCCTTTGTCCTGGAGATTTTTGTTTGGTGAGGTTTGGGCGCACTCTGCTCTGTGCCTGTGAATGTCAGTGCAGAGCTGTGCTGGGACTTTTATTTTTTACATCCTGGGGGTGGAACTTTGTACTCTGTGGAATTCTTGGGCAGCCACAGGAAATGTTGCTTCACAGTGACAATATTAAATATATCTGCATTGATTTTAATCCGTGAGTACTCTGAAATGTTTTGTTTGGTACTCTGTAAAGTAGTCTGAAATGGTTTTGTTCGCTGAAGGTTGTTGGGAAGGGTCAGACACCTTGACAAGGCATTGAGCAGTTTATTTTAAATGACATACACAGAGCAGCTGAACATTTTCAAGATCCACGAGCAACAAAGGGAGGGTTCAGAGCACCCCTGGGCAGGGTGGTGCTGTCTGGGGAGCTCTGCACACACCTGGCAGCTCTGAGAGCTCACTGATTTTGGTTCTGTAGATAAAAGCAAGAGCCCAGCCTTGCTTTTCCCTGAGACATCTGCCCCTGGTGCTGCAGCTGGCTGCTCCTCACCCCCCTGGGGACACTGGTGCTCAGTCAGGACGGATGCAGGAATCAGGAATATTTATTGGCATTATTATTTGCTCACTCTGCCTGCTGCAGGCAGTTCAGTTCAAGTATTCATTGCTTCAAGCACCTGATCTGTTGGAATTGATTTGTTCCCATAGTGTTGATATTTCCTGTAATGTGGGGGGGGAGCAGGAGCTGCCCCCACCCACAGTAAATGTAATTTAATGTTATTCTAAGGTTATTGTAATGTGCATGATGAGGTGTGTCCCTCTCCCTCACGCTGTAAGTACAAGGCAGCGCTGTGGAAGCTCTGAGGTAGCAGCAGGAGTGGACACTGAGCGATTTGGAAGCAGCAGCTTGCAGAGAGCCCCCCTGGAGGCCAAGGCCAGGGCAGGGCTATGTGGGCAGGAGCTCCTGTCTGTCCAGCAGGATCTGGTTGAGGCCCGTGGTGGAAAACGCCTCCGTGTGGGGGCTGACGTTGGCAAAGTGCAGGGGGGACCTCCTGCAGTGGAACTTGACAGGGCCCTGCAGGGACAAGAGGGGGAGAGTTCAGCCAGATGTGCAGCTGGTTTTGTTACTCACATTTAGCTCTGGAGTGTGTGACCCACTGGGGACAGAGGAGCTCCTCCTCCAGAGGAGTCCCCACAAATGGACTGAAGAGAAATGGTCACTACAGAAATGGCAGCATTGAACTGGACTGAGATCAGGTCCCACTCTGGAGGTTGGAGTGCTCAGCACTGCCCTTGCAGCAGCTGTGGCAGTTTCTGCACACAGAATTCGATGCCAACACAAAAATGTTCCCCCCCCAGACCTGAAGGTGATTTGTAAGTGCAGTTTCTGAGGGAAGGCAGTGCCAGGCAGTGGGAGATGCCACCCCAGCCTGTTCCCAAGCTGCAGACAGGAGGGAGGGGTGGGTACCTGTGGGAGGGCTCTGATGGAGGCGATGCCACAGCCCAGGTGTCCCCTGGGGCTCTCCTGCAGCCCCCTGAGGCAGCCCAGCAGCGCCAGCGCCCGCCGGGGCCCCGTGGCACTGCCAGGGGCTGCAGCCAGCACCAGCCCCAGGGGCCAGAGCTGCACAGCTGCCTGCAGGGCCCACGCTGTGCCCAGGGAACGGGCAGCTCCGGGGGCCAGGGCAGCTCCGGGGGCCAGGGCAGCTCCGGGGGCTGGCAGCTCCTCTCCTTCCCCCTCGTCCAGCTCTGCTGCTGCCAGTGCGGCCGCTTTTGCCTGAAAGACACAACAGCAACAGCAATTCTCAAATGTCCTGGGCACGACTCAGGACTGCAGAGCTGAGTCTGTAAAGAGGGAGTCTGGAAGGACAGCACACCCCAGTTTCCAGGCAGGTAAGGAATGAGTTTATTCTACAGGTTGAGCCAGAAGCAGCTCTACAGGACTGGCACCTGCTCTTCAGCTGGAGAAGAGTTTTCTGGAGCACTGGGTTTGCAGTTCTCAGAGTTGTTACTCTTTCTCAGACCCCAAGAAGCCTCAGGCTCCTTTCAGCGCTGTCCTGTGGCCCAGACTCACCTTCCACCTCCTCCAGCCCCGCTGGATGGCGCGGGCAGCCCTGCGCAGCCTCTGGAAGCGACTCTTGGCCAGCCAGGAGCGAACAGCTGGGGATGCAATGAGAGAAACCTGAGTGCTCAGAATCCCTGGGGGATGGCACTTGGCCACTCGTGCCCCTGTAATGCCCCAGAGTGACTGGAAATGTGCCTTGCTCTGTTATTTCAGCCCCACCCCACAAGTCACCTGCTTGGATGAGAGTTGCAGAGCGTTTCTCCTTTGCTGTTTTCTTCTCTTTAAATCTTCTCCAGCAGCACTGGATGCAAAATGCCTTCTCATTTAACACCTCTGCTCTCCTGGCTTCCAGGAGCTCCAGCTGCAGTGGGGAACAGGAGCCTGGAGTTAGGGATGGAATTGTGCTCACAGCTCTTCCCTCTTTTACAGCCTCTTGGTGTTTGCCCAGGGGACCACAGCCTCATTCCAGTGTCCTGTGACTGCTGGATTGGGCTTGGGAAGTGACAGCACCTCCTTGGTGCTTTTCAGGTAACATGGAAATGAAAATGGAAGTTCTTGGGGAGGAAGGTGGAGCCAGCAGCATCAGGTTCATAACCAGCTCCACTGAAGGGGCTGCAAGCTTGGCAAGAGTGCCTTTGACTCCTTCCCCTCTTTCCCAGCCAAATCTGTCCTGTGGAGCTGAGGAAAGCTGTCACCTTTACTGGAATTCTGACACAAGTGCAGCTCCTTGTCCAACACAGAGGCCATTACCCAAAGTGCTCTGCAGAGCTGGATTCTCATGGGTGCTTGATTGAGTTTAATAATTGGATGGAAAATGCCCAGTTCTGGTCACACTGGCTGGGCAGGAGTTTTGCCTCTGTCTGTGCCAGAATAGCCCTGAGACAGGAGCACTCCAGAGGCATCAGCCAAGGAACAGCACTTACCAGGGAATTGGCCAGGAACACTTTGGTTTTGCCACAGAAGACTGAGGGGATTCCTGCTCCATCCCCTGCTGCCTGAGCAGGGCTCTGTCCCCTGAGAGCATCCTGGAGGATCTCCAGAACAGCAGCACGTGGTGCTTTGTCATCACCCATCGCTGCAGTCTCACCTGGAAGTGAAACATTGAGCAGAAGGCACCACAACATTTGGAATTGGGGTCATTATTGTCTTTGCACTGAGATTTCTTGGCCACTTAATGGGAAACACCTGCAGCAAGGGGGGATGGCTGAGATCCTGCTGTGTTTAAGGCTAAAATGTGACAGCACCAATTGCACCCGGTGCCAGCAAGCAGCAAACCAGTGTGGGGTGTTTAAACTGGGCTGTGCCTGGGTGCTGCCTTCTCATCTGTCATCGCCTGTGTTCTCCATAGGTAAAACTCATTTGGGGCAGATCTAGGCTGAGCCAGGGAGGGCTCAGGTGTTCTCCCACTCCAAACATCCCACATGGAAGCAGGAGAAAGCAGCAGCAATGCCATTAGGAATAGACTGAGCAGCTCAGTGCTAAGAAAATCCCATTAAATACTCAAAACTCAAAGCTGTGGGAGCAAAGAACAAAAGGCAGGGAATTGTAGCCTTGATGTACTGAAAAGTGCAGGAAGGGGAAGCAAATTCTACACAATTGTGCAGCTGTCACAGGGCACTGGGAGCAGCTATGGGGTCCTGTACTGAGCAGGAATTTATGGCAGCAATTACAGGTTATTAAAGCCATTTCTGGGACACAGTGCACAATTTTTTACATTACAAACAGCTCAGCCAGATGAATCTCTTTGGAAATAGAGACCAACTTAATTCAGACCTGGAACAAGAGATTGTTGCAGGAGTTCCTGCACGCACAGGGCTGGATGGGTTTTGCATTATTCCATCCTGGATACTGTTTGCTTTTCTGCTATAAATATTTCTAAGGAGATGAGAGCATTTTAAGGTCCTGGAAACAAATAGAAGCAATTCTTGCTTACAGGAAGACATCTGGTGGCTCTGATGGTGTTCATGGGGCTGGGCTGATAAGGGAACCAAAAGCTCATCCCTGTGTTTGGGCAATTGTTTTGCTTTGTTTGCAGCTTATTACCCCCTCAAGATAAAAAGGACTAAAAACCCATCACAAAGAAGCTTTGCAGTTAATGGGTTTGTAATTGAAGGGGAAAGATCCACTGTGTGAGTAATTTTCCAGCCTGCACTTCCTTGCTTCACCCCATTTCCACAGGGTGAACAGATTTCCACCAATTTTTACTCATCTGAACAGGCTGGTCCTGCTTCCCACAGCTGCTGCTCGTTGAACTGACCCACTGGGTGAAAAGGGGATTCATTTGGGGCACAGAAAGGGGCTGCAATAACCTTTAATATTAAATGTAACCACCTGATGAGCTCCTCCTTTGAGGAGCTCATTGCAAAGGCATTACCTGTGGGCTGGATTGTGTTTGTTAAAGTCCATCCTCACTCTTGCTTAGAAAAAGAGAAGAGAGCAAAAGGTGCAAGAAGCAGCAGAGTCCAGGGTAAGCTGGAAGGTCAGTGATTCAGCAAGGAAACAAGGAGGGGGGAAAGAAAGGAAGGAGAAGGAAAATAAAGCAAAAGGTAAGTGGCTTTCAAGTCTACTAAAGAATCAATTCTAAATCAAATTATATTGGGTGAGGGGAACCCCAGACACCACTGAAACTGTGACTGTTCCACCCAGGAGGAACACAGAAAACCAGCAGTGAGGGGTAAGATTTTAAAAGTTAAGCAAATTAGAAACTCAGGTTGGTGATAGGTTAAAGAAATATTTCAGAATAGTGGTGAATACAGTAATTACCTGATCTGTGTGATACCAAGAGAACATTTGGAATTGGGGTCAGGGCATTATTGTCTTATACCAAATGGGTGCAGTGACAATTTTACTTGATGGCAGAGGGATCACCTGAAGAAACTTACCCTTTTTCTCAGCAGGATGAGAGTTGCTTTTATCCCACACTCTTTTTTTGCTGGAGCCCCAGGATTTCCTCAGCAGTTCGTAGCGCTCAGTGAAACTTTGGAAAGGGATCCTGGGAGACAAAATGTGCAGTGAATTCCAGGCAAGAACCATTACTGCAAATAAATAACTGATCCTTTTTGCTGAATGGTAATAACTCAGCCTATGAAGGGGGAAAATTCCAGAATGGCTTTGTGGATCCAGTGCATGGGATGCAAACAGACTGATGCCTG